CGACTGCCTCGGCGGTGGCGCGTGTCCTCTCTCTCGCCCTCTCGGCCTCCTCCTTCTGCAGCATCACGTGCTCGCAGAAGTCGGAGGCCGCTTTCCAAGAGGCCTCTCTGCCCATCATCTCGCGGATGAGCGCCGGCAGAGAGAGGTCTCTCCCCCTACTTGCTGGACGAGGACCACACGTTCTGCATCCTACGTGAAACATTTCGCGAGGGTATGCCGCGCGGTGTCCTCGTCCGCGCCACAGTGGTGGCAGCGCGGGCTGCGCTCCTTTCCTATACGGTGCAGGTACTCACCGAAACATCCGTGTCCGGTGAGCACCTGCGTGAGCCGGTAGGTGAGGCCGCCCCATCTTTTACCGGCCCACTCCTCGAGACACGGCCTGACGGCCTCGACGGTCCAGGCCCCGTGTTCTACGCTCTCCAGGCGGGCGCGCCACTCCGCGAATATCCGCCTGCTCGCCACCGTTCGTCGGGCCTCTATTACGGGGGGCGCTAATACGCGCCCTTCGAGGCAAGCCGCGGCGACCCAGCGGTACACCTCGGCCCGCTCCTCGCGAGGAGGTCCGCGGGTAGCACATCCGCCAACACCGTCGCCGCGTTATGCGACACCGTCCTGTACGCGCGGATGATGCGCTGGGACAGCCTTCACTGTACTCGGCGCATCGCCCGTTTGATGTGGCTGTTATTCGTCGCATCCTCTGACCAAACGGCGGCTCCATACAGGAGCCCAGCCAGGACGGTGTACCAGGTATGTAAATATGAAACCGGAATTTTTTTATAGAAAATACACGTTTATTGCATGAAAATGATAAATATTTTATTCGAAGTATTGCCCATCGCTAGCTATACATTTTTCCCACCTGTCTGACAATTTGTGGATGCCACGCCAAAAAAATTATTGCTCTTTTGAGCCAAACCAGTCATCTAGCCATTTTCGTACATCTTCGTAAGAAGTGAAGCGCTGCTGAGTAAGTGCGTGTCCCATCGATGCAAATAAGTAGTAATCGGACGGAGCCAAGTTTGATGAGTAAGCCGCATGCGAAAGTATTTCTCAACCAAACGCATCAATCGTTTCCTTGACCAGTTTTGTTGTGTGTGATGGTGCATTATCATGAAGCAAAATCACTTTGTGTTCCTTTTTTGATATTCCGGTCGTTTTTCACGCAAAGCTTGATTCAAATTGATCATTTGTTGTCGGTAGCATTCAGTATTAACGGTTTCGCCAGGTTTTAGCAGCTCATAATAGATCACACCTTTCTGATCCCACCAAACACAGAGCATTGTCTTCCGTCCATAGCGATTTGGCCTTGCAGTCGATGTCGATGGTTCGCCTGGAGTTACCCATGATCTTTTACGCTTAAGATTCTCAAAATATATCCACTTTTCATCGCCAGTCACAATTCGATGGAGAAATGACTTTTTTTTGTACCTCGCGAGCAGCATTTCGCAAGTGGTTTCTCGATTTTCCTGCTGTCTTTCATTCAGTTCATGTGGAACCCATTTTCCCATCTTCTAGATCTTTCCCATGGATTTCAAACGTTTCTCGTGTCACATTCAATTGATCCGCGAGTTGTTGAGTTTGAGCGTCATCCTCATCCAACAATGTTTGCAATTCGCTGTCTTCAAACTTTTTCGGTGATTTTTCACGTTCTTCGTTTCTCACGTCAAAATCGCCACTTTTGAATTTTTTAAACCACTCAAAGCATTGTGATTTACCAAGAGCATGCTCACCGTAAGCATTCGATGCGATTCTGCAGCAGTTTTCTTCAAATGGTAACAGAAAATCAATGCTATCCGCAAATCGTAATTTCCAGGCACAAAATTCGACATGTTCAACGCTATTACAAACTATACTGTTGTATGAAACTTGTATTGTTGTGAGTTGAAAATCTTTGTCAGATGTGAGAACAAGGAAATGACGTCAATGACGCGGTCTGACAGCAACTACATTGACAGCTATGGCCATCTGTTGGTAAATTCCGGTTTCATATTTTAATACATACCTGGTACGCGCGGGGGACCGATCCTCCCGGACCGCCGAGGTTCGGCATCAGGCCGGCCAACGCGTCGGCCTGCTTGGACAATCTGGGAGCCAGCAGGTTGAAGAAGAAAATGCAACCCTTTTTTTTTATAACGGAGGGGAAATGCCTACGCATACCCCGGGCTCTCTCCCGAGGCCCGGGGTTATGTGGGACTCGCACCCACTAAAACCCCTCCGGGTGTCCTCATCCGGCCATAACTGAGGGACCCAGGAACGCGTGCAGTATACTTCTGGGAGCCCCTCTGGCCCATCGATGATTTGTCGATTTTAACCCGCCCGGGGCCG